TTCCCTGTCAGGTGACTGCTGCAGGAGCTCGCGTTGAGGGCGTATACGTGCACATAAGACCACGCCGGTCCCTACACGCCCTCCACCTGGCCCCTCAGGTTGAATCTCCCCTTCATACCTCTTCATCGTCGTCTTCCTCGTCGTCATCATCGTCGTCCTCTACCTCGGAGGGATACATAGCATGGGAGACGGTGACGGTGATGAACGCCGGGGCCTCCAGCTACGTGCTGACGAGGCTGGCGCCCAACACCGAGTACGAGGTGTTTCTGGTCCCCTTCGTCAGGACTGAGGAGGGCTTGCCCACAGAACTGCGCGTCAATACTACCCTTCCTGATGGTGAGTCTATCGTACTGATTTATTTATTATTTTTTTTTTTTGCATGACAATACCGGTTAACTAATCTACCTGTGAATCATTCTATCCAACAAATTCTAACTTGTTAGTTATTCTACCGAAGCCAATTCTAATCTGTGAGTCATTCTTCAGTAGCATATCCTAAACTGTGAATCATTCCATTGAAACTGATCCTAACCTGGTAATTATTCCACTGTAACTAATCCTAACCTGTGAATTATTCCACTGAAACTAATCCTAACCTGTGAATTATTCCACTGAAACTAATCCTAACCTGTAAATTATTCCACTGAAACAAATCCTAACCTGTGAATTAATCCACTGAAACTAATCCTATCCTGTGAATCATTCCACTGAAACAAATCCTAACCTGTGAATCATTCCACTAAAACTAATCCTATCCTGTGAATCAATCCACTGAAACAAATCCTGACCTGGGAATCACCCAATTTGTGAACCATAGTACATGTACACGACCCAATCTGTGTAATACCCTACCTGTATACAAAGCTACATTACCTGTGCATTGCAATTAACTAGTGCAAACACCTCTAACCTGTGTAGTTTGCCAATTTGCTTGCCACTCTCCCTGTACAGAGCCCTACAATGTCAACCACAGTAGGTGTGCACTACTATAACTACTGTGCACTACTGTTATAGTAATGCACAGCTACTAAACCTGTGCACCACTAAACCTATGCACCACTAAACCCGTGCACCACTATACTTGTGAACTACTATAATTATATAGTTGTGATGGTTTAGCGTGTTCTTACTCACCGTCTAACCTTGCGAAAACCTTGTTGCAAGGTTTCACTAATTACCAATATTGCAACTATGGGCCCCTTTTATTGTGTAAGATTCTAGAGAAGGTTTATATGGTTTTCTTGACATCTCGTGTGCAAGAATCCTGATGCTTGGGATTAACTTTGTGCCTTGGATTAACTTGAGGTTTTAGAGTGTCGAGGCATATATATATATTGAGGTTTCTGGGTGTCGAGTTTATAATCTTTAAGTTTGAACATGTCTAATGATATAATAACTTCAAGACACTGAGGTGAGAATAGCATTAAATATAATACTTGAAGTTGTAGATTTTCAAGTTAAATGATAACGGAAAAATTCTATTATACCTTCTATGATGTCACATAATTTTCTTAGCCAGGGTAGAATGGATAGAAAATTGTACAACACATTCAAAGTATTTCTTAATTTAATAGTACCAGCCTGGTCTCCTGTCCTTACCTAACCTTACCTAACCTAACCTAATCTAACCTAACGATCTTGTCTAGCCTCTTACCCTAACCTAACCTGGCCATAAAATGTATGATACCTCAGGAAGCCACTTAACCGATCGAGTCCGATGCATGGAAAACGTAGGTATTTGTAATTCGTTACTGTTTATCGTAGGTTTAAATTGAAACGTTGGTTATTATATCGTACAAAGAACGCCCTATTATTGGAGTGAATGGATTACAGGTTTACATGCTCCTTCCTACTTGGTAATTGTATTAATGAAGTTCAAATGCATAAAATCCTTATGGATATGGGTGGATAAAGTTCACGCGGGTATAGATGGATAAAATCCTTACGAAAACGGATGGATAAAGTCCACGCGGATATAGATGGATAATGTCCTTTGGGCTATGAGGTGGATCTGCATATCTCTCTCTCTCTCTCTCTCTCTCTCTCTCTCTCTCTCTCTCTCTCTCTCTCTCTGGCGTCTCTGGCTGTTGACTGTTGATATTGACTGGAATATCTGAGAATGTTGGCGGTAGTGAAGAGCAAGCAAATTAGCGCCGGGAGCTCAGACGCCTCCCACAACAACTACTACCCCCCTGCAAGGCCTTCACCACCACTACCAGCTCTCTCACCAGTACCACAACCAGGTCCCACACCACCACTACTACCAACAGTGTTCTCGCAAGGACCAGCTCCGCAATCATAACTCCCACCAGGAAGGGAAGGTATATTTCCCTGGGGAAACTCCGCTAGATGTGTGTGGGGAGTTCAACAAGAAGTTTCAATATATTTGCAAAGCAAAACCAGTTTTCAAACCCCCTGATGAGAGACAATAGGTGGCAGGAACCACCATAAGATGATATAGCAGCCTCTGAAGAGGTGGTAAGATGTCGTCTGGGGGAACTAGACGCCACAGAAGCAACAGAGTCAGCGTAAGCTGGTGAAGACATTAATCAGGATGAGAATAACGAAGCACTCTGGAGAGAATAGGACTAAGTCATGCCTGACAAACTTGACAAGAGTTCTGTGATAAGGTCTCAACAAATATGAGAAGAAAAATCATTGATACCTGGTCTATCTTGCACCTGGTGTACATGGTAGAGAGATATACTGGGAGAATCTGGAGAAAACACCGAATTGAGTGTAGAAGTACCCGAAGAAGAGAACAGAATGGGTCACAGTGAGGTGGTGTCGATGTGTGGGGGATGCGACAAAAACGTTTTTTTGGGGCCTGAAAAAATTTTGGGGACCCCCGCGAATGTTCCTAAATCATCACTGTTCCTAATTTAGGTGGACATACCCGAGGGAGTTAGCATGTCAACTTTCGCTTGATATGCTTGACATGAACTTTCGCGGGGGCCCCCAAAGTTTGTTGGGCCCCCCAAAAAACGTTTTTGGCCCCCCTCAAAAGTTCTGGAATCATCACTGTTCCTAATTTAGGTGGACATACCCGAGGGAGTTAGTGTCAACGAGCATGTTTCCGAGCAAGAGGGAGTGAGCATGTTTTCACGTGATGCAAAACTAATAAGGAACGTCCACACACATGAGGTTTGCAGAGGAATACTTTGACCGGCTCTAGAGGTTTTCAGACAAATGGCTCCTAAAGTTAAAAGCCAATAAGTGTAAGGTGATAGAGATGGGAAATGGAGGTAGGAGGCTAGAAGGAATATACAGTTCTAAATTACAGAAATTGGAGAGTGAAAATAACTTGGTGGTGGACATATTTCCAACACTAGCGACAGAGGCACAAATAAACATGGGTAATAAAATCAGAAAGCTGGCAAACATTAGAATGCCTTTAAAAAACAACTAAATTAAGACTCCTTCAAAATTCACCCAACCTATGTTAGACCAATACAGGTATATGCAACACCGATCTGGAATGCGCACTCCCAAGAGGCACACCGATTTGAAATAGTGTAGAGTTGTACAAGATTAGTTCAAGGACTAAAGAGGGTAAAGCTACAATAATTGGCTAAGACAACTAACTCTCACGCCCTTAGAGCGAACCAGAAACGAAGGACACATGATCACACCATACAAGATACTGAGTGGAATAACAAAGCGGACAAGGATAATCTCTGTAAATTGAGAGAAAAAGACGAAAGGACATAAGTGGAAGTTGGAAATGCAAATGAGTCGAAGTGGAATGTACCGAAAAAAGTTGTGGAAGAGATCTTCACAATCGCAACCTTCCACAACCCCACCTTGCGCCTCTACCCCCCCCCCCCTTCCCCACCCTGTGCCTCCCTCCCTCCCCCCCACCTTGCGCCTCCACCACCCTCCACCTTGCGCCTCCACCTACCCTCTCTGTGCCTCCACCTACCCTCCCTGCGCCTCCACCTACCCTCCCTGCGCCTCCACCTACCCTCCCTGCGCCTCCACCTACCCTCCCTGCGCCTCCACCATTCCCTCCCTGTGCCTCCACCACCATCCTGCGAATACACCACCACACTGTGGCTCCACCACCACACTGTGGCTCCACCACCACCACCACCACCACCACCACCACTACCACCGCCGCCAGCTCCTCAATAAGCCACACCAGTTCCTCAATAAGCCATTCGCGGGGAGGAGTTATTGGCTCCGATAAAATCAACGACGCTCGCATAACCACCTTCGCCTGGGCAAATGAGCAGTAGAAGCTGCGAAGTTTATAGACATCGGATAATAGAGATTTCCGCGCGGGAATATATCGGAGCGAGTCGACGTCGCTTCCCCCCCCAGCATCACCGAAATCCGCCTGCGGGGGACGCTGACGTTCCTCTGGAGGGCTCCACGTCGTCTCGACATTACCCTAATCTTCCAGCCTTGCTATATGCAGTAACCAGGGTCCTGGCAGCTGGCGGGGGACATGAAGGAGTCCGTAGTAGTCTCTGAGTGTGTGTGTGTGTGGTGTTGGCTGGAGCTATGATGGGTCTGGTGTTTAGGAAGGCCGGATGCGATCTGATTACTTTTTAAGGCCATCTGAGGAGTACTTGATGTGGGGATTTTGAAGTGAGCAACAGTGAGGGGAGCGGGGGGAGGGGGCTTCCTTTGTGCCGTTTTCGGGAAAGATTTGTAGGTTGGGAGCTACAAAAGATATTTTGAGAGGAGGTTAAAAAGAGCTGTTGTGTCATCTTTGGCTATTGTGAGTGAAGGGGGGACAAGACGAGGGGAGTTATATGTGTAAGGGGTTCGTTCTGTCCCTCACTTCCCACCTCTCTCTCTTTTCCCCTCTCCCGTCTCTCTCCTCTCCTTATTTCCGATATCTACCTCCCCTTAATACCCACACTTTCCACCATTCACTTTCCCTCCACTCCTCCCTCTCACATCAAAATAAAACCAAATTACTTTATTCATAAATGCTATACATTTATAGTTGTGTTAGTTTATACAAATTTACAGGAATTTTTTACTTAAAAGAAAATCAGAATAATAACATATGTAATATCTTTAGTTATAAAGTGCATGCTCAAGAATTAGATTTAGAAGCTACATTTACCTGGGATTTAAAAATCGTTCGAGCTGTCAGTGTCAGAATCGGAAACTGTGTTGGTGAAAATTTATCCAAATCATTAAAAAGACGGCTGAACTAAACAGGTGTACATCAGTGTTAATCAATCTTTACATTCTTGGCATTAAGTTAGTAACATTTAGCTTAAACTTTGCAAGGTGATGTATATTGGAAAAGTATATCATTCTTAAGTTGCATTTCCAGACAGTTAAGTTGATATTTCTGGAAAAGTTGGAGTTGCCAG